TAAAAAAAACCTTTTGTGCAATGGAAAGTTTCCATGGATGTTAAAAGGTTCTTCATGGAACCATAGATGCCAATAAAGAACCTTTATTTTTAAGAGTGTATATAAAGAAAAAATATTCCACTTTTTTTTTCTCAAATCAAAATGTTGCACACTATACGCCTGGAAATAACTGGTGATCAGTTTGTTTTTCCTGCATTTTTTATATTACTTTCTATCATGTTAGTTATTTGTAAAATCTCTTTAACTGTTTCAATCCAGGAAGTGACATCATTTTGGAGGGAAAACAACAACCAAGCATCAGTAAGTATTAGCAATGGATTTGATCAATTATCTTATGTTTTGTGGAGTAAGTTGGTTGTGCTCACTTAAAAACATGCAATTCTGTTTGATAAATGTATGGAAATCAGTATGACAGTATCATAGTTTCACAAACTAATATCTTATTTTAGCTGTTTATGTTACTAATGCTACTGTCATTGTGTAAATGTCACGTTCTGGTCTATCCAATGTGCTAGGGTGGATGAGTCTGACTCCAGGATGCAGTGCGGTCATCTCTGTGAGTTTATCTGAGGCAGGTCTTTAAGTTCCTCTTGAGGAAGATAAGAACTGCAATCTTAACCTGCTCTCTTTTCAATCTTTGTCTGTCTGTTTCCTTTTCACTCTCAATTCAGCTCAAAGTGCATTCCATTGCAGATTCATACTGGCATTCCTGTTTTCCATCGGCTATATAAATTAAAGCTACAAATAGCCCAAAAATGAAATCAAAAGCTTTTTTCTCAAGTGCAAAATCTTCATTTATAGAATATAATGCACTTAAGTGTCCTTCATATGTCACATGTCATGCAGCAGTGATTGTGTGATCAGTAATGAAGTACATCTGCTCTAGAGGAACAACAGCGTGACATGTGTCCTTGCTTTTGTATCTTGACTGGAATTACTGTAAAGGCCGAGAGTTCTGAGTATATTTTATAAGCTCCTCTGTGTTCATAAATCAAGCCAAAGCCTTTTTCATTTACTCATCTTTATAGCTCTCCTCTAAACAGCTGTAAACAACAGTGCTTTCTGGAACGTATCAGTTTATTGATTGAATCTTCTTAAAAGAAAGCTCCTTTCATTATTGGCATACCAGTATATCTGTCAAAAGCTCTGGGTAGAAACATAAACCATATATATGTGCTCACAAAAACATCTTTGTGCTTGATTATGAGGGGTGTCATGGAGCAGCTGTTGTTCTGTTGCACATTGTTTGATGATTAATTATTCTCATTTCACTGCATTTGATATAGTTGATACCTGTGAACCATTTATATTAGCCATCTACATCAGTGTTAACCAGAGCCATAGTTAACCTGCTGATGTTAGCAGTTTATCAGGAGGTCTCAGCTAACCATTTAATGTTTTAAAACATTTTCCAAACATTCCATTTTGGTTTTGAGAATGTTAAAATGTCTATGTGCACAGAGCAGTAAGCTATTTTAGATTTATTGCAATGTTTCTAAGAGTGTTTCTAAATTTTTTTGTAATATTCAAATACTGAGTTGTGTTGCTGAATATGTTTAAAATAGTGTTTTAAAAAGGCTATACCGTCCACACTTGAACATGATGAACTATTTTTAAGGGAACTATTTAACAAAAACAACTCAGGCTCATTGGAAAAATGTGCCTGTGACGACATTTCTGCAATATGATAATATGTTGCTTCTTGCATGTTTTGCAATACTTTTAAATTGAAATATCCAGTCCGTGGTGCGAAAAGCACATTCAGTTTTATCTGAAACAGATGTATGTGAATCTGGCAACGTTTGATTACATAGGTCGTAGTATGCATCATGGTAGTTTGGAAATAAAATGTTCGGTGAGTGGCGCTAAAACATTAAAACACTACCCTAAATCTAACCGATAAGTGCGAAGAAAAGCAAATGTGAAATAAATAAAAAAAATATTTGCTGATGCAAACATGCCATTTTATGGTTACTTCTACAGGTTTTTGAGTGTTTATCGTGACTAGTTTTTATGAAAATGAGCTACCCATTACATGGTTATGGTCAGCCGGTTACATGCAAATGTCAAAATGAATTCGTTTGTGAATCATGCACTATAGTACAAATGTTTTGAGGTCATAGTATTGTGCAAGGAACTGCATGAAAACAAATTATATTAAGCAATAATCTACCACTGTAATCATTTTGTTTGAAAATGAATAAAAGATGTTGGTGTTTTACTGCCACAAGTGTTCATTTCAGCTGGAAACTGCTTTGGAAAGGATATTCAAACCTCAAACTACTAATAACTTCATAAGGATATTCCACTAACATTTTTTATACCTAACATTTGCATAACTTGTACATACTGTAATGTTTTTGGAATGTTCCCTATTAGGTGTGATGTCTATCTTTCAGACAGTGTAAGAACAAATAAAGCTGCTTTTTTTTGGACAGAGGTGTTGCTAGGTGGTTGCTTGCTTGGCTGTTGCTAGGGTGTTCTGGGTGATTGGTGTTTACTAGTCAACTTGACGATAGATATGAAGTATGATATTCTAGTCTCAAGATCAAGTTCTCCTTCAGTCAAAGTCCGTGGGATTTTTTTCTTCCGTTTTGATGTCCACAAGTCGAAAATCACAAATCTGAGTACTTAGAAATGTAAGAGTACACCTCTCAGAGGTATAATTTGTGTTCATAGCAACACACTGTGCAGTACGAATTAGTTTAATACTTAGAGTTAAGGGTTTGTTCATATCCTTATCCCCAAGTATCAGCAATAGTAATAGTGATGGATGCTTGACTTAGCAAGCACTACTAACTAATGGTGTGATGCTGAAGTGAAGCAGGAGGTATGTGTGCAGAAGGTCATATGTTCATTACTCGTGGTCGGTCAGTGGCTGCCAGCCAGCACATAAATATGATCAGGACATCAGGACAGCGTGCCAGGGTGACAAATGACTGCAGCAGTGGGGGAAGAGACAATATTTCAAGGAGGAATAGCAAAGACATTACACTCTCTCACACACACTCAGCACGCTGACCTTTCTCACATGAGGATCTGTGTGTGTAATCTCAGGTTGCACAAGCATAACAACCTCTACTACAAACTCAGCATTCTGCATTCTCGCAATAAACAAGTGTGCAATAAATGCTTGAGTATTTAAAACGCCTGAGACGAGAAGTGTGACCTTTGATCCTTACGTTGAAGGACAATATGAATGATTGATTTATATTCAATACAGCTCACCTCCTGTCTTTGTCCAAAGCTGCTGCACTGAAAGAAAGGTCAAAGGTTAGTGAATATTTCTTATATGTTAAGAGACATTTCATGATAGAAATAAATCATTAATTATACATGCTTTTAATAATTAATTATTTTTATTTAACTATTTTGATGATCTTTGAAATTGTTCTTTTTTTCATTTTTCCTGTTTGAGGGATGTTGGAGATAATTAATCATTTGAACTATTACTTATTTATTCATTACTGATGTTAAGTAGGGGAAATTAACTTTGAAAATAAAATAAATTAAATTTTTATATATTCTATTTATATTCTATAAATATATTATATTTTTACTTTTTATTCTTTATTTTCATTTTTATGAGAATAAATTTGATAGAATTTCCCTGTTTGAGGGATGTTAGAGATAAAAAAATCATTTTACTAATTATTTATTTACTATTTAATTACATATATTTTACTCTTGATATTTATTTTTAAGTAGAGAATTTGAACTTTGATTGTAAAATATTAAATTAAATTAAATTAAATTTCCTGTTTTAGGGATGTTGAAGATCATTTAACTGTAATCAGGGGCGTCATGCAGGGGTAATGCAGGGGTTGTCATGTGATGCACAGCAGCCACAACAGCACTTTTGTTTCATTTATTTTTTCCTTTTTATTCGAAACATCCCCAAACGCATTAACTATATCATGAAATACCTCGATTCTCACCTTTATAGATTATGTTGATCCATAGTGGGCGACGGTCAAAGTAACCTAATAATGTAATCTATAAACTATGCATAAAATCCTGTCTGTTTACTTAATTAACAGATATGGATGTCATGCCATAACATTTTTAATACGACTGAGTTTATATTTAATGTGAATTTAACATTGAAAGTTAATGTGAATAAAAACATTGTAAGTTAGACTACTAATCATAACACTAGCCTACAGAAAGAGAGCAAAGAACATTTACATTATCAAAGAACATTTTCACTGACAGT